CCTTTTTTCTTCAATGCCTCTGCTTGTCATGATGGATAATGTGGCACTTTTGTAAAATTGAAATTGTTGATATGTGACTTTGGTTTGGGTGATTAGTTTAAGCTTCAAAGTCAAGAGGCCCTTTTGCTTTTTCTTAAATTTTAGTGGGATCACTGCCGGAGGGGCTTTTATGAGGATGTTATTGAGTAAATTATTGAATTATAATCATTTGTACAGGTGTGGATGGAACTTGAAGCTAGCAATCAGCCCAAGCAAGAGCGATCAAGGACAAGATGGACAGCATCCCTTGACAAGATATTTGCAGACTTGGTTGTCAAGCAGATTCAACTAGGAAATAGACCAAACAATGTTTTTGACAAGAAAACATGGAATCATATTCGGGATGAGTTTAATAGGCAAACAGACCTTAGTTTCAACAAAAATCAATTGAGGAAGCATCTAGATGTACTTCGGACCCGCTTCTACAACTTGAAATCCGCTTATGATCAGAATAATGATTTTGTAATGGATGATTCCTGTTGCATTGGCTTTGAGCAGTGGGATGATATAGGGGTAAGTTCCTTTCATTGTAGCGATCTGTTCCTTTCTTTATTCGTAACCTGAATAGTGCTATTTTTTTATGTAGGCACAGCCTAGGCACGAAACAGTTAAAGGGAAAGATTGTCCAATATATGAGCAACTGTGCGCAATCTTCATAGATTCAGCAGCTGATGGGAAATACGCCCAGTCTAGTCATTATGAAGAGCTTGACAAATCTTTTGGAACTGATGCATCTGGCTTTACACCATGTCTAGAAGCTAAGGTCTCACATTATGAAAACCCATCAACATCTAAATCTATTCCTGGGAATATCTCAACTTCTGAGAAGGTGACCAAGAATTCTCTAGATAGGAAACGGAAACGGTCGTACGAGACACAAACTACTGGCCTGGATCAGGACACCTGCAATGCTATGGCAGAAGCCTTGTTAGATATGGTTGCTGTTTCAAGGTTAAGGGCAGTCGTTTCAAGTGTAAGTGATGACAAGTTTTCCATAACAAACTGCATTAAGGCTCTAGATGAGATAGAAGGCATTGATCAACAGCTCTACTTTTCTGCCCTGGATCTCTTTGAGAACCCTAGCTTAAGGGAGATATTCATTTCTCTAAAAAGTGTCAAGATAAGGTTGACATGGTTACAAGGAAAGTGCAGTAGAAGTCCCTTCCATTAGAAAATTCAAGTCATCAGAATAGATTTCATAGTCACAACACAAATGCTCAGTCTATTATACCGTCCTTTTTGTTTGACTGTAAGTAATGCCATTCCTAGTTTTAACTTTTACAACCTGCCGTAGTTGTTTATACAACGTGCTTTTTCAACTGGATTTTATAGTTACTCTTTCGAATATGACTTTTGTGAACCTTCTGATCCTATTGACTAAATGTAAACTATTGTTTGTTGAAAATGCGCAAATACCATTATTCTAAATGGATGGTTGTTGTTACAGTGTCTTAGGCATATTAGTAGTGTAATTTATGGACCCTTTAGATTTAAGTCATCTAATGCTTTGCTAAGCATGCTCAATTTACTGGGGTGTGAACAAATGTATATTCGATATTTTTAGAATGACAAGAACATCAGATTTCAATCCATTTTGTAACCACTTCAGATTAAATTTGTAACAGTTCCAAACATAGGGTGAAGCTAGTTTACCTTACAGATTTTCTTTCGGAAATGTTTAATTTGAAGTTACATGGGCAGTGCCATAATTCAGAAGAGTTGTATAGTATCATCGCACACCATATTAAAAATAAATAAAATCATCATTTTATGTTTAATTGTTCATTCAGATCAAAAGCCGAGAAAATGCACCCTTCTGAGCAGGAGTCTATTATATAAGATTTACTTTTTTCTAAAATTGTCGCATGACATTTTTTTTTAAAATTATTTCAACTTACCATTCCACTTAGTTTTTAGGGTTTAAAAATGGTTAGCTATATTTCTTCAAAGTGTAAATTATTATCTTTAATTTGTTACCAGATATTTCTTACCTAATATGTTGAACGAAAAGTAATGTGATCATATATCAAAATCTTAAAAAATAACTTTTAAATTTCTGTTATTTATCTATTCTAAATGCTGGACACTACAATCAGTGATTTGAAATTTGAAAGAATGAAAAACAAATAATAATATTTGACAGGAATTGAAACCAAAATTCGTATATATTACAATATTAATAACAGGCATTCTCAATTTTAGAGACATTAAAAACAAAGGGGAAATAATTAGGAACCAAAATAAAAAACATTCATTTTAGAAGTATTTTGAAAACATTTTTAAACCTTTTATTATTATTATTATTATTATTATTATTATTATATGTTGATTATTCCAAGTTGTGTTTATTGAGTTTTTTTGGATTGTCAATCTTTTAAATTTATATTTTGTATTTATTATTTAAAAAAGAAATTATGCAAATATTATACTTTTCTATAAAATAAAAAATTATCGCTTTATTAATATACGCACAAATTCATTCATTTAATTGCCATTTAATATTTTTTTTGTGCTTAATGATAAATTTATACTCATCAACCTTACAAAAAAATAGTTATTTAATTATTTATCTATGTTCAAAATAATGCCCAAATTTTTTAAACCCAAAAATATTAGTATGTTGTAAGTTCAAATTCCTTCATGCTTTAATGATCTTTTTATTTAATTTCATTGAATTTGTTTGTGCACGTCAACAGTAAAACCCATGAAATTTATTCACACTAATGTGGTTAATACAAGAAACATTTTTAACAGAGATCTTGCTTAGTATAATATGGACAAGTTTTTACACACATTTTCAGCAGGACAGGCTGTTTTATTAAATGGAATGATAAAAAAACTTGACAATGAAATAACTAGAAAGTAGTAAAGTTTGAGTTTTACAAGTTAATAGAACTAATATTTCTATTCTTTTTTTTCGAGTGAACTAGATGAAAAGCAATTGAAATAACGAATTTTTGATAGAATGTGTTGATGTACAATTTTTGGATTATTAAATCAGAAGATTATAAAAAGAATAACATAAACATAGGAAACAAAAGTGAGTAACCTAATAATATCATATCACTGATTAAAATGTAAACAAATCAAAGGATGAACATGGTTTTGATTTTTCCAACTGCATTAGGTGTGTACTCATATCAAAGATATTAAATAAGTACATTAACCTCATATCAGATCCAAAATCAGAGCCAAATATTCTTAGCTTGCCTCAGTCATCATCTTTGAATTCTCTGATTAATATGAAGCACAAAACAGTAGTCAACAGTACAATACAGAAAACCTGAAAACTTTTCTATGAATAAATTATCATGTTTTTGTTGAAGAATAGTTTAAGGTTTCTCAAAACCCTTGCTCCTTTTAGCCTCTTATATGGTGACTCAGTCCTTATAGCCTTATTGTTATAGCAGAATGAATGCTGATTGACAAAAATTCCATGGTATACATATTCACTAAATTTGTTCTTGGTAAATTTTATGGTAGAGTTTTGGAGATATTCTTTTGGAAACAGAGAGATTTTAAGCAGGAGGAAGATAGGGTATATATAATATGTACTGCAATTTTAGCAAAAGAGGAAAANAATAAATTATCATGTTTTTGTTGAAGAATAGTTTAAGGTTTCTCAAAACCCTTGCTCCTTTTAGCCTCTTATATGGTGACTCAGTCCTTATAGCCTTATTGTTATAGCAGAATGAATGCTGATTGACAAAAATTCCATGGTATACATATTCACTAAATTTGTTCTTGGTAAATTTTATGGTAGAGTTTTGGAGATATTCTTTTGGAAACAGAGAGATTTTAAGCAGGAGGAAGATAGGGTATATATAATATGTACTGCAATTTTAGCAAAAGAGGAAAATAACTTCAAAGTAAAGATGAAAGATGTAACATGGCAGTTCAAGTATTTTGGATCAAAATTTCAAAATGATGAAAGATTGATTTGATAAGAGACAAAAAAAAAAAAATAAAAAAGAAAGAAAAAAAAAAAAAAAAAAATATCTACTGAACTCAAAAAAAGAGTTTTATGGAAAAAGGAGTTAAATACGTTTTTACTTCCTAAACTTCGATGCAAAATTGAAATTCCTCCCTGTTATGATTTTGATACATTTTTGTTCTTAAATTTTAAAAATAAATAAATGTACAAGCAAAAATGTTAACGTCAACAAGTTCAAAAAACTATATTCATTCATTTTTTAACTTTAAGAATCAAAATATATCAAAATTTGAGACTATAACAACTTTTAATTTCACGGGACTAAAAACATATTTAACCTATGGGAAAGCTATGACAATGAAAGTTGGACTTTAGAAAACTAGAGAATGTTAGAATGAATGTATGAGCATACAAGATATGACATAAAACGATTTTAGAGAAATGACATGGTATGATTCATGTAGCTGATCCCAACTAATGGAAAAAAGCTTTTGCTGTTGTTGCTAAACTACAAAAGAAGGGAAATGAGGTTGCAGAACTGCATACCTGCGGTCAAGGTAACGAGGTTGAATTCCAGATCCTTGACAAGTTGTGCATGTGAGTGAACCAACACCATCACAGTTTATGCATCTAGACACCTCCTTCTCACCCCCACCAAGTTCAACTGTCACATTGCCAGATCCTAAGCAAAATCTGCATTTCTCTGCCCACAGTATAACAAGATTGGTCAAAAACCTACAACTATTGAATTCTCAAATTCAGAGGAAAGAAAAAAGATTAACTGCTAAATCTATGAAATAGCAGATTTCCTGCCATGCTGTAGTGCTGAGATGAGACAATCAAATTGTCAGATATAATGGTTCCTCTCCATTCTCATTAATTCATCATTGTTGAATTTGATTGTTTCCCTTTTCCCCTAATGAATGAGCCTTACCTCAAGGTATAAGCTACCTTAATTTTACAAAACTTACTTATAGAATGAAATTTGAACTTACTTATATACTGTAAATTTGTATAACTCAAGGTGATAATTGTTACCTAGACAGGTACTGTATAACCAAGTACACTTTCACTGTGTGTGGAGTTGAGCTACCTCTTATGTTATAAGAACTAAATGAAAAAACCTTAATTAAGCTAAATAGTCAAACGAATCCTTATTCAACAGTTATGACTGAATAAACAGTGTATGCACTCGGATAATGGAATGAATATTCGTACCATCATTCAAGCATAAACCATATTAGTAATGACAATAATTTCTGATCGAATAATGCATCATATAGAAAATAAAACTTACGAGCACCAGATCCAGTACATGGGAAGCAGGGCTGCGTGTTATCTCTCTTAGCCTGCAACAAAGAGAAACTGTAATCAAAACCCAAAACATCAGATGAAAAATAGAACATACAAAAGGGTACAGTGCAAAGTAAAAACACTTCACAGCATTATCGATTTGGGTTTCGTAGAACACTGGAATGCCAATTCCAACAGCCACACTCACGAGTCCTACACTTATAGCCACTACCTGAAAAAAAAAAACAAAAACAGATTAAGGTTATGTCTGTTACGCTGTAGAAATAAGTAATACCTAAAGAAGAACAGGAAAAACCGTGTTTTGATCAAGCTCCAAAGCTCTAATGCGAGGATAAGAAGAGGGTTTTGGTTGAAGAAAAGTTGTTGCAGAAGGCTTGGATTTCAGAGGGCAAGAAAGAAAAGAAGAATGCAAGTTAGGGAGAGAAAGAGAAGGAGACAGTGTCATCTCTCACTCCCTTCAATTCAAATGTTGTTTTATATTTTGATCAGTTTTTGTGGCATCTGAACTGAACTGAAAAGGAATCGTTAAGAATGAGAAGAGAGGCAATGAAACTCCCAACAACATCATCCAACCAAAACTAGTGGCAGTAACGACCACATAGTCTTTGTCCCATCTTACACGTGGCTCTATTATCCTCATCATCATGCATTTCATTTCGATTCTTTATTATCCTATTTTAACACAATTTCTTTGCATTAAAACAAAATTTCTAAAAAAATAATAATTATTTAACATACATAAATTTTTTACATTATCCTTTCTTATTTTTAATTTTTTTTCTTAAAATATATAAAAATTTACATTTTTTTATGACCATTTTAATTTATATTATGTGTCAAATACATTTAAAAATATGTTATAATATTATTGCTCTTTTTAAAATGAGATTTTAAGAATGTAATTTCCGGAACGAAACTCATCAAAGACCTTACGGAATATATTTTCTGCAATATCCGTATATGAAATATATTATTAAAAAAGGCTTTTTGAAACACATAAAATATTTGGAAAAATGTTTTTTTTTTTTATATATTGTATTTCTTCTTCTTTCTTTGCAGCGTGTTTCCTCT